AATGGAATGGGTTGAGTCAGGAATCTGCAGCCAAAAGAAAACCGAAAGACAAATTACTACACCTATGCAAAGCTTATTTGTAAGGGCAAAAAAGCTGCAATGATTACCAAAGAGCAAACATAGTCATTTTAAACCATTTTTGGGGGGAGGGGTGCACACCAGATGGTATAGTTTCAGCCTACATGGCAAACAAGACCAAAGGCAAGGAAGTGAAACAAGAATAATGATAATATGCAGTAATAATATCAGACAAAATTCAGATTTATGCCAATGTATGCAATGGGGATCCCCTTCCTACCCTTTTTAGGAGGGTCCACAGCCCTCCAAAACAAATTGGAAGGCTGTGTGGACAGGAGAAAGGGTAAGTCCAATTTTGCTCAAGCAGAAATCTGTTGTGCAAGTGGGACACCACAATTGGATATCACCCGATACATGGGTATCTTACTAGTCATGTGTTAAGTAAATGCCTTCTAGAATCACATCATCACCATCTACACATAGTCTATTTTTCAGGGATGAGAATGGTTTAATTTGAATTTTTCAAGGTCGGAAGCCTGTTATAATAAAGGTCAGGAAATGAAAAAATAACCTTCATTGCCTATAATAAGTATAATAAGGTTGGAAACACAAACACACAGTTTTGTGTAGCATTGAGTGCTTGTCTCCTAGAAACATAATGTCACTGTCCTTCGATAAAACTGAAAAAAAAATAGAGAATCCAGATAATGTGCTATATTCCCAGATTTTTAAATGGCAGCCTTAATTTAAATATAGAGATGCATGAAATCCTCCTGAGATGTGCTGCTAATCTTATTTAAGTGCTTTTTAAGCACTCTTGAACTGCCTACCAATGTTTTGCCTTAGAAAGAACAGACAAATCCTTCAGATTTGGTCCTTTTTCCTGTGTTGGTGCAACAAAATTCACTAATGAGAGCATCTTGTTAAATAATAAGCTGTCAACATACAAGTGAGTCAGCAGTGCAACGCAGTGACTAATAAGGCTACTGCAATTACATGTTGCATCAATAGAAGCGCGGGGTCCAGAACATAAGAAGTATTGGTGCTACTCTATTATGTCTTAGGCGGACCTCAACTGGAACACTGTGTACAGTTCTGGGTACCACGGTTGAAAGGAGATGTTGACAAACCAGAACATGTCCAGAGAAGGAAGTACATAAGAGATACGGAGGGAGTGGAGACCAAATGCTAAGAAGAAAGGTTGGACAAGGTTGTTTAACCTGGAGAAGCAATAAATAAAAGAGGTTGCATCTGACATAGCACTGTGTGAATGTTCCATCAGTACAAGGATTTCTGCTTGTGCAACTTAATGTTCTACTCCATTCCTCCCCCCAATTTTTTTTATGGGTTCATCCAAATCAGATCAGTGGAGAATGTGCAGTGCTCATGGGGGAGGGGGAACTCTCATTATATAAGTGGAAATTGTTGCACTTACAAGATACAGTAGTTGAATACTTCCCCTGTATCATTCCTAGACAGTCACCACCAGTCCAATGCCAATACAGTGGTACCTCTGGTTAAGAACTTAATTCATTCTGGAGGTCCGTCCTTAACCTGAAACTGTTCTTAACCTGAGGTACCACTGCCACCACATGATTTCTGTTCTTATCCTGAAGTAAAGTTCTTAACCTGAGGTACTACTTCCGGGTTAGCGGAGTCTGTAACCTGAAGCGTTTGTAACCCAACGCGTTTGTAACCCAAGGTACCACTGTAAGCATATATGTAATTGAAATTTAGACACCCCCCCTTGACTCAGTTTGCAGGAGTCCTCATGGAGCTCTTCACAAAATATTTTTGCTTTAACAACTCTGAACAATTTGGTATCAGCTAACTTGGCTACCACACTACTCCACAAGCTGCCTGTCCACTTATTTCTTGACTACTATGGGTTGAGTTGTTTTAAAATGTTGACTGAAGCAATTTATATTCCATCCCTAGTACAATGAAGAAAGTGTGTATAGGATGTAGCCTGAGTGTCTTTCTTTAGCGAAATAACAACTGTTTCCTTTTAATTTGTTTTTCTGTTTCATGGTTGAAAACGTAACAGGTTTGAAGTATTTCCTACCATGCCACAATGATCCGGGTAGCTGATCTCTTACCACTTCTGTGTTGCTTATATAGTTCATCTCGGTAATACATCATTAGTTTCTGATCTCAATTTCGCCCAGATGATTTAAAAAGGGGATTGCTCATTATATGAACACAAACGCAGAGACCCATCACAGATAATCTTGTGGGTTGCAGTTAAGACCCAGACATCTGACAAAATCATTGCCTATGCATCTTTCAAGAAGACAAGAGGAAAATTAGTGCAACTGAAGAGGGAATTAGCAGGAGAGATTCAGTAAATAGTGCTTAGAATGATCTTACTTCAGGGCTTTTGAAGTCACTTAAGAAAAATGTGTGAAATGAATTTACTTCATCAGGTTGTTCTGACATATTGGAAGTGAGGTGTGAATGCCAAGAGGCTTTTCCTTACAGACTTAAGAAGCTATAAAGAGGAATGTTATTCATGGAATTTACTGGTTGACATAGTACAATAATACAGTTATAGTGAGATAAATCTATGAATTTAAAAATAATCGCTGTATCGTTGATACCTACTAGCATAAACACCTGAAGTAGCTGTAAGATTGTTAGAGGGAGTGCCGTGTTCAACACTATTTAATCCCTCACATGCAAGTGTCCTTGGCCTCAGGGGATAGATTGAGAAGCTGTGCACTCGCGCAAGATCCACATTTGCTTAGGAAGGGAAGACTCCTTCAATCCTCTTGGCCTCAGGGGAAGTCCAGCTGTATGGCAAGATTGCTCGGGAGTTCAGTCTTGCCTGCTCACTTGCCTCACAGGACCAATTCAGGAGCTGTTGCCTGGCAACTACCAACTGACATGAAGGGAAGACTTCCTTTCATTATGGGTTGTGTGAGATCCATCTGCTCAGCCTCACTCCCTTGCCTCAGGACACCTTTAGGGAGCTGCTCTCTGGCATACCAGGGAAGATCAATGATGATGACAGGAAATGCTGTCTGAGTAATCTTGGTTTCCTTTGGACACCATGCAATTTCTGTTCCTGACCTCGATTTGTGTGTGATTTTTATTTTGAGATTTTTTTTGTAAGCCACTTCATCAGGGTCTGAAGTCTACAAAGGGGGTGGGGTACAAGTATTCTACATAAAATAATAAAATACAAACATTACAGAAATCCTTGAAGGAATCATACAGAAGCCACAATCAATCATGTATAACTGAACAGATATAAAATATGAGAAGTCCCACATGCAACCCTGAGATGGGAATGAGAGGAATGTGGGACAGTGTATTCCTCCTGACCAAGTAACATATATGGTAGAGAAATGCAAATAACTATGGCACTGCATATTCGTCAATATTTTATCATATGGTTTATTCTGAGCATTAATAAGATGCTTGTAAGAAGTATGATAGCTGCCCTATCACGTGACAAAAAGCTGTGAATGTCATCTTCATAGGCTTTATACATGGAACATATTATTTTGTTTTGATTTTTTCTTTTTTTCTGAAATAATGGATCTCTTTTAGTCTGAGCGCATTAAGGCAATGGAGGGTATCATAATCAATCATATTTAAGTCTGAGATTTTATTCCAAAGAGTTTCCATCAAGTAATGAAAAAACAAATTGCATTCAAAAAGATCAAAAGGGAGAGAAAATTAGGAGAAGTTCTCTTTATTGTGGTGCAGAGTTTTTGATGCACTTACCTTGCTTGAAAGTGACTTTGTGAATGTTATTTACGGTATTTCATTTTACAAATGATACCACCAGTGGTGTGAACTCTGCAGCCCTGGTCCCCAGACTTCAGTTACAGTCCCGGGGAACATAACAAGAGGCAACTCCTCCCATGGGGCTTTGCATTTATTTTTTTAAAGGAAAAATGGACATTGAGGGAGACTGCAAAATACTGGAGAAATGCTTGCTGGAAGAAAAAATCACATTTATCCTTTGGGGCTCACAGTGATAAAATAAGCTAAAAATTCTGCATCCATGGATAGTCTAAAGGAATTATTGATTGACCCAAGAATGAGATAGAAAAAGTGGGGGGGGGGGCTTTCAAGAAACTGGAGGACAGATTTTGGCACAGCATTAGGGTTTGTTTGTTTTTCTCACGTTCAACTCTAGTAATTTTCCTTGTAGGCTATTTAGATGCTAGTTATATAGGTAGGACTGGAATAAAGGGAGAAAAGCAACATTCTGAAAAAGGGATAAGATGATGTGAAAAGTGATAAAATTGTCCCCATCAGGAAAGTTGGAGTGTCAGAAGAAAGATTTCTAGTCAAAACACTCTGGTCTGCTAAAGTAGCCTTCCCTGTGTAGAAAGGTTTTCTTTTTTAAAAAAAATTGGATCATTTCAATGTGTGCTCTCAAATATGTCCTGAAGTAGTATAGTCCCCAGAAAAAAACAGCAATGTGTTGTGTTTTGTCCGTGCATGTGTTATTTACAACAGAAAATATAGTCTTGCATTGTATTCTGGGATCATAGTATAATATATCCACTATAATCTCCTCAAGGTAAAGCATCTTTCCAAAGGGAATTACTCTCACTTTTACCTCCCCACCCAACCTAGAGAATGATTAAGAATGAGAACCAAATGCTCCAGAATTTATCCTGTTTAACTAATGCTCATCCATTTATTATGCAAGTTTTTCTGAGGGAGACACCTGCCAAATTCTGCCATATATTCCACATTCTGCCATACATTCCAGTTTCCTTTTTCTGCTGCCTAGCCATCTTCAACCTTGTTATCACTAAAAGTAGCCCAAGTTGTTATATAGGACTTCTTCCAATGTTTCATCAAAGAGTGTTAATAGTGCTTGGGCGGACAGAGAAGAATCCCCTGTCTAAAAGTTACTCAGGTAAAAGTTGATCTATAAAAAGTATAAAATGCCTCTCTCTTGGGAGTTTTTGGATGGATTTATGGCAATCAATTAAAAGGTTATTTTTCATTTTTAGATTAACTTTTTGAAGACTGAAATGGAAAGGAAGAGCAAAATGATCAGGGATCTTCAAAATGAGGTAAGAGGATCCTTAGCTGTCAGAAACATACCGAAAATACGTACATCGTTAATGATAGTGTACAATTACTGTATATTAAATATCTGTATTTGTTTCTGTGGAATTAAGTAAAATGTTACAGAGACTGGATGCCTGGGGTATTTACAATACCCAGTTTCTATTCTGCCATATTTTTACACCTTGTTCCTTTGAGCAATCTGGCCCCATTCTAGGGAAATAGTCTTTGCTGACTCCAGTTAACCCCTTAATGATATATTGTGCAACATTTGTGTTCAAGGCCTGAAGTTTGAAACCTGTATCCAGGGGGCTGCCAAGTGTTGGGATTTGTAGTCCAGCAGCATTTGTAGACCAACAGGTTAGCCATCCCCACTCTATCCCACCTGCCTTGTTGTTAATTCTGTCCTGGAGTTTTAGTGCTAATCTGGCATGCTTCTGATATCTGATTATCTTCTGGTGACTTGCATTTTTGGTAAGCCTGCCTTTCCCAGGTTTTTCCTGTTATAATAGCATGCCTGTTCCAAACTCCTGTCTGCTTGTTTTTCATGAAATCTGCATTTTTCCCCCACTGATTTTTCTTGTCCTGGGTTCTTTCCCCTGCCCTGACTGAAAAATGAACATTCAGAAATAACTATGTATGTTTGCCTTAATTTGACATTTTAGTGAATGGTTTTCTTATGGCTAAGATATAATAATGGATTTTTAACTATATGTTCTGAAACAGGAGGAAACAAGTATTTGAAATTTTCTATAGTAAGACTGATTATCGATAGGGTTGCCATATTTCAAACAGTAAAAAGCCAGCCAGAAAAGTTTTGCAAATTTTTAAAAAATGACATTTTTGAGCTTTTATTTTAGTAAATGGCACAAACGACCCTGCCAGCATGGGTTGCCATACGTCCAGATTTCCCTGGACATTTTTTTTTTACTGATTTCTGTCCTGACACTACTGCCGACTACAGTATACCGAATATGTCCGAGAAACTCCAGACGTATGGCAACCCTAAACAGGTTCTATTGTCTTTCAAAAACAAGTGAGAAAGAAAGAATGTACAATTGAAAATGGGAACTATCTGGTTTTGCTTATATTACATCAAATTCCCAGCACAATCCTACTCAGATGTAAGTTCCACTGAGTTCAGTGATTCATTTCTTTGAGTGTATGAATAAACAGTGTTTCTCAAAGCAATCAAGTTCTATTAAGGCCAAATTCAAATAATTCACCAGCTCTGTGGTGAGATGTTGTTTGTGAGAAGTTGTTGCCTCACCGTTTAAGGGCATTTACGGTAGGCTTGTGAATCCGCTCCTTTTTTGAAGAAGTGGCTATGTTTTGCTGATTTATTTATTTTTGTATAAATATTTATACACAACTCCTCCCCCCCATGAGATTCTCAAAGTGAGTCACAAACACAGTAAAATAATAACAATGAAATCAGTGTAAAAACTTGTGAAAAGCAGGAGCACCAGGAGCAAAATTCTGTGAATTGGTCAATGAAAAAAAGCACATTTAAACAAAACAGTTTTAAGCCATCTTCAAAGTTGTAAATGAGGAGATGGATAAATCTTACAATTTTGGTTTCTCCCTCTCTCCCTCTCTCTTTCATTTGTTCCAGTCAGTTCACCACATTTCTGCATCAGAAATGTTATTTTAGGTTCACATGGAAATTCATATGCAGTTGGCGTGCTTTTCTCCTAAGATACACATTTTTGCAAGAGATTTTCCCTAACATCATTTACTGTATCAAAATCATTTATCTGGCAGGTTTTCTTTTTAAAAAAAAAGTCAAGGTGGTTTAAAATAATCTAAAATAAAAAATCCATGAAAAAAGCTCAGTACATGCAGTGAATGCAATATAGCATTTGCAAGTAACTTAGTGGAGCAGTTGAGAGGAGTGAGTGAATAAATATGTGCCAGAAGCATATCACCACTGGCTCCTGACTCACTTCAGAGGGGATGCAAATGACACAGGGTGGGCATTACAATAGAGAAAAGCCCTCTCCCTGGTCACTGCCAAATGGGTTTCTGCAGGCTGCAGTATGACCCAGAGGGCCTCACTTGCAGACCTTAGTGATCAGGCAGGAATATACAGGCATTCTTGTACTATTTTCACTAAAATACACACTTTCCCCCAATATATGCCTATATGTACACATGCATTTGGATGGAGAACAGCATCTCAAAAATCACAGCTGTGCAAATTTCAAAGGATAACTCCCATTTTGGTTTGGGAAGAACAAATTAGGTAGGTTCACATTAAAATGCAAACGAAACAAATTTCTCTCCCATCTCTACAGAGTTAGTATCATAAACACCAAAAATACCTGCATTATATTTCGTTGTTTTTAAGCTGCCTGTTTTTGGGTAAAGGTGATATTAAGAAATAACTCAATTTAGGTTTCTTCAAACCATTGGATATCATTTTAGCACATTTTGGGGTTTGCAGCTCCTCCAGCTGTGTGAAGTATTTGATCCCTGGTAGCATAAAGAGCTTTGATCTTCTCTGCCACTTTATATTATATATCAGCTTGGTTGAAGCATTTGTCACCCACCAGCTCCTGCGAGACAATTTCATTTTCTACCTGCAATCTCTCAAGCCTCTTTGGGATGGGAAATGCGCTAAAATGTCTCTTGGGGAGTCATACAAAAATCTATGTTCTCCTTTCACATAAAACGCTTTAAAAGACGCATAAAAATAAAAGGTATGAAATGGAAGCTTATGGCTGCTTTGGGACTGCCTGCATCGGTTCACCTAAACGCTTAGCGGTGCCTAATGAATTTTGATGAATGCTATTCTTTAAACAAGACTGGAACTTTGCAGTGCTTTCATCAGCATGTTTCAGTGAACAAAAATGCAAAGCACTGGCCTTTTTGTAAACATCCTTGTCGCCTGGATGCACTGCTAACTCTGTGGTCATACTTTTCTGTAAGCTTGCGAAGTTTAGCTTTACCACCTTTAATAACCCCAAGGAAGCAAAGCAATATTCCATGTTATGATTGTTCACAAGGGATCAAAAGAATACCCTTTTCTGTTGTTGGAAATTGAACGGGGAGATGATTTGGTTGTTTATACAGTGGTACCTCGGGTTATATACGCTTCAGGTTACATACGCTTCAGGTTACAGACTCTGCTAACCCAGAAATATTACCTCGGGTTCAGAACTTTGCTTCAGGATAAGAACAGAAATCGTGCAGTGGCAGCGGGAGGCCCCATTAGCTAAAGTGGTGTTTCAGGTTAAGAACAGTTTCAGGTTAAGAACAGACCTCCAGAATGAATTAAGTTCTTAACCCGAGGTACCACTGTATGTGCAATGCAGTCTCACAAGGTTTGCTGATGAAAAGCCTTGAGTCATACTGACAGTCAAACTTTAGTGGTCATGCTATGGGTGGTCACTGAATCAAAACCCAAAGGAAACTATGGTTGTGTTAAAAGCCAATGCCTGGTGATCTGAGTACACTGTATCAGTAGGCACCCAACCAGCTCAACCCATGGGAGAGGGGCTAAAAGTAAGCAATGGCTGACTAAAACCCACATGTGCTGTGAGGTCGTGGGTTAAATTCCCTTTGGGTAGGTTATTTTCCCTGACCTTTGACATCTGATATGTGTGCTTTCAGAGCCTCCTCTATTCTTGTGGCTGTAATCTGTTTAATTTCCCACTCTTTAATTGTTGTAACCCACCCTGGAACTTGCTGGTGAAGGGTAGATAATATATTTAATAGTAATAGTAATACCATGGTTGGTGCATATAGCTGTGGTAGGTTTCTTAGGCTGGAGGGGGCAAACAAAAATCTCCTGAGTGTGGGAGTTATAGCATAGCTGGATCTGACTGCAAGGCTCAGAACATAGGAAATATGACCATTTGCAAAATCAAACTAAAGTTTAAAAGGTTGATTTTAATTCTTATTAAAACATGTGTCACCAGGAGTGTACCTACCAGATACTTGCTTTTTTATATATATAAAAAAGAGCATATTGTTTGACATGCTGGGCCTTACCGCTATGTAGTAAATTAAATTAAAAGTGCTGTTTGCAATGCAATCAAGCAAAGTTTAAATAGAAATGGAAATGGAAAATATAAGCAGTTCCCAAGGAAATGCATGTGTAAACATATAGATGTCGTTCTTGGATTCTTCAGGACCTGTTAATAAATATTCCAGGCAAACAGCTGAACACAAAAGGGTGCCATATCTCCATCTTGATGTCCAAAACCTGCTGCTAGCAGAGTACAGCCTAGAATCCCTTAGGTTTGAGTGGTGGGAGTTGAAGCTGCCGGAACCAGTTTGTTATACTGACGCTAGTTATATCTTTTTGTATCTCAATGGGAAGGAGGCAACACAAAAGTGATGGGTAGGTTCACCCTCTTTTCTCTGAAATCAACCGCAGCACAGGATCAATGAGTCATTTATCTTACCCAGTGCTTTTTTCTAAAAAATGTTTAGGAGTACTCATTTTGACTCAAGAAAACCACCATTTTATAGTTCAAATCGGGAAAAAGAAATACATTAAATGGACAAAAGTACAAAGATTCACAAAACATTTGGGGGTATGCGTCCCCCCAGAAAAAAGCACTGATCTTACCTATCACCTTCAAAACAGACAACTGGTTCAGTTAATCCTGAGACAAAGACCTAAGGAACTCAAATAAGATCAAATATTGTTGTAAGTCAAAAATCCTAGCATGCCATTTTCCAGTGTCGGCAGATATAGTTTTGGTTTTAAAAAAGAACAAACCCTCACAAAGTTGTAGAAAAAACTTTACATTTTCACCCCATAGTTAATGTAAGTGAAAAGCAATCCTTACATTAAGGAAATAGAAAAAATTGCTTATGTGGGATTAATGGTACCGGCAAAATCTTTGTGATGAATTGCATTGATTCTGCCTGAAGGAGTTTCCTATATATAATTTTTTAAGGCTGCTTGCCAAAGATACTTGTAGGCAGGCATACGATGCAAGCTAAGAACTCTGGCCTATCTATAGTTTATTTATATTTATACTATATATAC